ACTACAGAAGAGGTTAAAATTTCAACATGTTAATCTTTAGTTATTTTTATAAAAAGCAATTTTTTTCTTGCGGTTGTATCATCATCAACATTGTGCACTGTATTTTTTTTCAATCAAGGATTTTTCACAACTAGTGTACAAAGAAATTAATGACTGCACAAATGTGCATGAATTTACACTGGGACTGCATACTGCCGACTGTACAGTATACAGCCAAGCAAACCACTCTCGTCTGACAGCGTTGCCCCGGGCTCTGTTTCACAGTAGACAGATGGAAGGAAACATCACCACAGCATGTACAATCGCCTTCATCAAACACACAAAGGGTGTTTTAACAGTCAGTTACTTCTTGAGAAAGGGAAAGCTTTCCAGGAAGCAGGAATTATATAGTTTATGCATCCATCTTAAAACGAGAAACATTTTCATACTGATCTGTTGACGTTCTGCAGGTACTGTTGAGCATTTGTAATTGGTGTGTTTATTTTCAGCAAGAAATTGACAGTTGAAAGTGAATAGGTGAAGCATGTTGCGCTACAAATTGATCTAGCACCATACTATGAAAAAAGCAGACGTATGATGTTGAAACAAAGCAGAGGTGCAAAACACTAGGAGTCTTTCATTAATAATGTAAACACAAAGTCATGTCAGTGTATGTTGTCATTAACTGGCACACTTCCCACCTGTTCTTTATCATATGATAAGCCCTTTTAGTTAAATCTATTTATAACCTGGAATACAGATCTTATTACCGCCATGTGGTAAATAGGTGGCTCATAAATAATAAATAAGCACGACAAATTTCCTTTTAAAAAGCATTTTTTTTTATTTCCAATCCTGTCAGTACCTCTTTGTGAAAATATGGCTATTCTTCTAAACATAACAACATTCTGATAAGAGTACTCTTACTTGTTAGGTTGTCAAAAGCAATTAACAGTTCAGCTGCTGTCAAGGACAAACCTGACATGATACATTCACGGAGAAGTCAGCCTAATCACTACAGTGCTTGTATGCAGTTAGTTTAATGCACAACATTAACTAAGATTTGTATCATCACTCACGCACATAAACACACACACATACATATATTAATTTGCCTGTGGAACATTAGGTGAGGACATGTAAATTGACAATAATGTGGTTCAAAGACTTTAGTCTAATTGGTGCATTCCAACTACATGCCACTCAGCGTTAGACCGACCCCTCATTAGTTTTGAGAGTTTTTTGCTTAATGAATTCGGTCCTATTCTGTTATAACCATGTTTCAAACTTATCTGACAGGATATTAGTGACATGAGTTGCCTCCACAATAGACTTTTCTATTGGTATTAGGCTGACTGTTTGAATCAAACCAAATGCAAGAGTTTTTATAAATAAAATTGTGCTTGCTAATCACATAAGCACTCTTTTGCTTATATGCATGGGAAATTATTTAGACTTTTGATCATTTATTTTAATTCAGATCTTTTTAACCATCAGTTGATGGGCCAAAATACATGTTTTAGCTCCAGTTGGGCCCCAGTCACCTGTGCCTAGAGACCATGTGGCAACCACTTTAAACAAGGGAAAAAATGTATATTCTTCTACAACTGGTTGGTGAGTGGTTGTTGGAGGTGGCTGTGGGAGAAATTGGTTGCAAGTTGTCAAATTTTCTAAAAAACTTTTAAAGAAATGTTGTGTAGACCGGAAATTCACCTTAAATGCAAACTTCATCTTTGCACTTTTCAGAGTTGGTGTGTTTCATGCAAACCACAGGCAACACCTGAATCTGCTACTAACCAAAGCAGTCTGTTCAGCACCATGTAGCTTTTTGTAACCACTTTCATCACTGCAACTTTCAGCAACCGACTGCAAAACGTTTGCCAACCAGTCAGAGATTGCACATTTTGCCCTTGTGACTCGTGGTTTCCAGGTTGTTGCCAGCTGGTCTTTAGGTCTGCATGTCAGGGTTCCTCCCTGTTGGAATCCCAGTATGATTTACTGTTGGTGTCTTGCTGCAAACACCCCTAAACTACAGTGTCTTGTGTGTGTGTGTGTGTGTGTGTGTGTGTGTGTGTGTGTGTGTGTGTGTGTGTGTGTGTGTGTGTGTGTGTGTGTAGGAAACACACAAGCATACACAGTGCTATATCACTTAGCTTTAAGGGCGCAATGCTATTAAAGAAAAATCAGAAAACAAAGAGAAAGGACTTTAATTTAATGGTCAGTGTAAGTGAATTTCCATTTCTTCCTAAATCTCATCACCACTATGATAGCATTTGCAGTCTGAAGCAAATTCTGGAAAGTAAACAAAAATGCAAAGCAAACATAAAGTATGTGGCAAATAAATTATGCTGTTTAAAATGATGATTTTTGCCATCATTCTTTTTGTTACAAAGAGCAAAGGCACAAAGTACAAAAGGCTGAAATGCAAGCAAATTTATTTTCATCTAATGTAGACAGATAATTCAGATTTTGTGTATGAATGCTAATATTCAGAAGTCTCAGGTGGACCCACTGCTTCCTCGTAATATTTTCTTTTTGGTTTTAGCAATAATGTCACAGACATAGTCTTTTTCTATATCTACTGCTCATTCATGCTGCATATTCATGCCCCATGGAACAGTTCAAATATTATTTCTTTCAGAGATTCTTTGTGTCTGTCCTGTGTTTCAACACTTTTAAAATTCTCTCTCGGATGCCAATAAGGTAAAAGCAAATATTGAATTGTCCTCACTTCGTCCACTCCATCTTTCTCAAATCTTTTTCTTTCTCCAGAGATCCTTGAGAAAGTGGGAGAGAAAGACACAGGCAGGAAGAAATGAGGCAATAGCGATAGTTTCAACTCATTGTGGTAAACCTCAGTGGTTCTTGAAAGTTGCCATGGATACAAACCCAGCCTGTATGGATGTGGAAAAAAAATGTTTTGTCAGGATGTATCAAACTCTTCAAAAATATCTTCTGTATTTCTACAGACTACGCTTTAGACATATTTGCACTGCTTTCTTTCTGAGCGACATGCTGTGGGGTACTTTTTTCCTACCAGAAAATCATACAGTGTTAACAATTTAAGCGCAAATGTGCAAATGCAAAGATTTTGCTTTTGTTTTTTTTATATATCCATGGCAACTTGTAGAGTGGTGAACAAAGACAATAGCATAGCACGAACTTCATTGCTGTGTCTTTGGACAAGTTATGCTGTTTAAGCTGAAAGGATAATACAAAACCACAGAACAGTATTGAATCAAGTATGGTCGGCAAAACCGCTGTCGTCTCTCAGCACCTCTGAATGTTAACGCACGACGACCTTGCTATTTAGCTCTGCAACCCATTCCTTCACCCATCCCTTTGCCCAGCTGTACCACACTGATAAGGTATATTAGTGAGTGTGCTCCTTCCATTTCTGCTACATGTGAGCATAACAAGTCATGGATTCACTGCGAGTATGATTAAAAGCAATGATGGGTAGAGTGTCAATTTGATCATATCTATAAAAAAACAGAAAAGCAAGTTTTGCTATTTGAAAAATGTAAAAAAAATGTAGTTAAGATTGTAGGAAATGACTGCAAAGTTCTATCTATCTATGTAGATACACACACACATATATCTCTGTCTATCTAGATAGCTCTAGATCTAGACAACACTTTAGTTAGTATTTTGTGTTAATACTTGTTTATTACTCAGTATTAAAGTTGCATTCATATTAACAGCACAGTCCACAACTTCCCTGTCACAACACTACCTCTACTAGTTAAGGAAAGACAAAAAAGATTAGGAAAAAACACATTGGGGTTTGGGTGATTTGACATTACTCTGAACAAAAACCTAACAAAAAAAAACTGTCGAGTGGACATTTAAGATAATCAGCTTTGGTTAAGCTGCTGCAACATTATAACTGAGGATTTCTTTTTGTGCCAAGAATAATCAAGAAGGTTAAACAGAAATATGAACCAGTATCAAATAAGTTTTACACCCATGGCTGTATTTCATGTTGAATTATATTACTTTGGGGATTCATCTTATAAAATTTGACATGAGGAATTATGTGCCTTCTGACAGATAATATTGCTTTTTGCCATTCAGATACTGCAAATGCGTTCTTCAGAAATCCTCAGAGACAGTTAAATTAAGAAAACACATTGTGTATTATACAGTGTTTTCTCAATAGGAAGAAAATAAATCACCCCTCGTTTCATAGTAAATTAAGAAAAAACAGCAGCCTGTGGTTTTTTTATCCGCTGCTAAAAACAAGTATTATTTGGTCTAAACTTACAGTGCAATCATCTGGTGAAGTCCCTGTCTTCGCGGATGAAGAGCACAACATGGAATCCTTTGAAAGGAAACAGTGAACAGGTGAGGGAAAAGCACATAAAATCATGCCAGAGGCTAAACTTGTTAAAATGCAACAGCCATTTGTTGTATGAGGTGATGTCAGAGGGACAAAGGTAATTGGCAGTAACATGATGTTGGTCATGATGATTTGACCCTCTGCAACCATAACCCTTTTTGACCCCTGCAAAAGAATCTGTTATAATCTACTGGAAGCTATTTAGGGACAGAAAACTCATTCATTTCACCACAGCAGTAAAGTAGTAGCTTGACAGTATGTGATTAGTAATTGGTAACATTAAACTGATCCCCATCTGACAATGAGACTTGCACCTGCAACTGTATTTGCTGATATTTTGGTTCTAAAGTTAAAGAAATGGCATCGCTTTGCTAATACCAAATAAATGCTCTGTATTGTTTAAATGAGGTATACTTTTAGACAAGGCATTGACATTTTTTAACTTTGTTCATTGTCATCTTGTTATTTCTTACATCTCAAGCATTCAAGCTATTCATGCTACTAAGATGGTCTGTAATACTCATAGCCCATAGTAATTATTTCTGTATTTATAAATACAAGTTGTGAAAAATGTAAGAAAATTCATAACCCTACTTTTCATCCCGGAGTATGTCTCAGCTTTTATATGCTGACATCTCAGGAATGTCTGAAAAGAATTCAAATCTCAGATCATTACACAAATGTGCCATTGTTACAGTAGTCCCTCACTGAAGGCTTTGTATAAACGCGAACAGTGCCCCCCTCTTGCTTTCAGGTAGATTCCTGGAGCACTCTGTCTACAGCAAACAGCAGAGGCATCTGTGGTCCACGTATACCCCAACATCCACCTACTGTACATCTCAGTGCGAACATCTCTCCAACGCAGTGCGGCTTTAAGAGAACCGGGGCTCTTAAATCTGAGCTTGGCTCCTCCTACCTCCATGATGTCAGTCGGAGGGAGAGCGAGAGGGAGAGAGGTGAGCAGCATTGAGGAACTGAGTTCATACAATACTACTGAGACATCTACAGCTTAGCAGACAGATACGGTGAACCGCCTATCCCGGCTCCTGTAAGTGATGCTGCACTGAGGCACACTTTGATCCAACTCCACTGGGGGGGCGATGCGCTCTATGCATCCCGCATTTAAGAGTTTTTTTGGGGGAGAGCGCGTACAGCCTTGAATCAGTCAAAACAAGTGGTTATAACATTAAAATAGGTTTAAGCTTTCACTTCTTCATCAGAAGTCTCTCTCTGTTTTTTTCGCCCTCTTGGATTTAAGTTTGATGTGCGGTTTAAGAGGCTTTTAACGCACACACGTGCAAGTTTGCTGCCAGCTGGCGAAAATAGGAATTTCAAGGCAAATTAGGCTAGAGAGACAAAGTTTATGTAAAACAAGCGTGGATCACTGCGTATCTCCGCCTGTGGGATTGTGAGCCCAATACATCCGAAGAGGAATTACAGCGTCCTTTAAGTTGATCGCTGTGCATGCCCTTTTTCTCTTGCACGCGAGGACCACATTTTTTTAGCACATGGATAAGTTTTTGTAGTGGATAACATTTTTTCTACGCTTCTTACCGATTTTGATGAGGATCCTTTCTGCCCGTTTCCCCCACTTCACATTAATTCATGGCACTTCTTTTTTGTGAATCAGTGATGTCTCTGCGCGACGGTACTCACGGTTGATTTTTTTCATCGTATTCGAACGGAAAGGTAAGCTTCGCTCATATTTACTACTTTACTGTTAAAAACAAAATGCATTTTACTTTAGCGCTCTCTGAATGTAAGCGCATATGACCGCTCTATCCTGTGTGCGTATTTGGAGAGCTCCATAGCCTAATTTATTTACTCTGTACGTACTGAAATTTCGGTAAGGGTGAGGACATGAAGTATATATATATATATATAAAATCAAGGACAACAACATAAACTGGGCGAAATTCGGGGACTGTAAAGCATAAAAGGTAGTTCGGTAGTGTTGCGACAGTGGGTAATTTTGATGCTGAGTAGGTTTTCCTAGAGCTGCTCCAAAGATATAATAGGCGTCCCCGTGAACCGAGTGTAAATACAAATTATCCATTTACACGGTGCATCGTGGAGCATCTAAGCGGAGTTGTCGCACCATGAATGTGTACCGCGTGGCCGGTCACGACTTCGGGCTTTATTTAGTCTTGCTCGTTGCTGATCGCTAGATAGATAGGCCTACTTTCCAAGAGCATCCAACAACAGGGACTTTTCAGCGCAGGTTTCTCAACAGCTTGGCCGCTAAGCTCGGTGCGTGGGTGCGCGGCAACAGCGCGCTCCTGGTCAAGCGGTTTAGCTGTCACAGACCATAACCTCAGGGGCTTTCATCCTGTTCACACTTCTACTCGGGGGAAGAGGGGGGGAAGCAAACACGGACTGAATTTGTTCGAGGAATAATAGTTCAAATAGTCAATATGAATTCCACTTCTTCCTAGAATTAAACACCACGGTTGGCTTTTGTAGATAATTTGCTATACCTGACCCGCATGCATATTATTATTGTGGCTGTTTTGAGAGGCCTGTTAAACTCAGTATTTCCTGGAGAATAACTTCAAATGGTAATGTGAAGCTCCCGAGATGTGCCAGATATTTTGGCAATATCCTCGGCGGTTTATATTAAAAAGGGAGTCAGTGGATGATGGAAGCAAGGTATATACTTTATTTGCAAAACACAAAAAAATATTTTATCATTCACATCCACATTTTAAAATCGCCAAACGCAACTGAACCAACTGACTGTAGTCTTTAATATCCTTGCATGACATGCTCCAAATTTGTTTTATGGCTCTTAGAGGTTGAACTACAGCACTACCGAGTGCTGAGTTTTGGGAGTCATTAACTTGCTCAGGGACACACTATGTGTTCTGAAGAGCTAATACAGTAAGTAACTGTGGTGTCAGGGATTCTTACCAGGAATGGTGTCTTTCTGCATTTGCGTTCAAACTCTTTCCACAGTTATAATTAGTTTATATAATACAGTTAATTAAGGATTTCTCCACAATCTAAGTTCATTTTAGTTCCTCTCTTGGGTGACTTTCTGATGACACACTGTAGCAGATAGCAGAAGGTGTCCTTTTCATTCTTCATCAACTATGACTTATTAAATTTGACTACCTGTATAAAATGTATCTTTTCTGAAATGATTTCAGAATCCACAATGGAAAACTTTTGAAACATTTTGGAAGCGTCTTTCCACATCATTAAGAGAGACATTTATATTTTAGCACTTATTCATAATAGTGCATTTTTTCACAAGTTTTTCATAAGTTTTATTATTTTGATAGTTTCTCTGACTATTTAGGATTGAATTTAGGATTAGTCAACCCAGACCCATAAATAAAAATTTAATACGATTTTAAAATGTACTTACAAGTTAAATTTAACTTGAGAGATGACGTAAAACTGCACCAATCGAATCGATCACTGATTTAACTTTTGGATTTCCATGTATGGACTGCCCTCTTGAGGTCCATGATTACAGCACTGATATTTAGCTTGTCATCTTGGAAATAGCGGAGGTCATTTGTTTACCTGTGTAGTAAAAGTCTTCTTATGCTAATCTAAGTATTAAATTGATTCAGAGGTGAATATGCAGTGGCTCAGTCAGCCAAACAGCATTGCTTGAATCTACTTAAACATTATGCTAGATATTATGAATCAGAACTTTTTTTTATGTAGTAGGTAACCCTCTTTTTTAGTTGAACTTCACTCTACATACATTGCTGGTATTATTTCCATATCGAGGATATTTTTTCTTGCAGTATATTACCTTGCACTATTATATTGTCTAAGCACTACAGCTCAGGCAATATAGACATTGCTGAAGTTTCCCAAGAGAAAACAACTTTTGTTCCACCACCATGTGAAGAGAATTGGTCTAGCGGTGTGCGCTAAAAAAGAACTGACTGATCATGACAGAAACCTGGTCTGTCAGACTGTCAGCGATCCTTAAAGCTGTTAAAAGGGAAAATGCTCATGACAATCAAACGTATTCCATCTACTGGTGCCCTCTCTTTAAAATCTCTTTGGATCCACAGGCAATATTGATATACAACTGTGGTAAAAACCTGGCTTTGACAGTTAAAGGACTCCAAATGTCAGAGTAACTACACTGAAAGTTTCCAATAAGGGTATCTTTTAGGGGTGAAGGTAGGAGGTGGCAGTAGATGTATGTCTCCTCTCCCGCTGCTCCCTTCAGCAGTTGCAAACCACAGGAAGACCTGTCCATCACACTGTCGTGGAAAGTGATCTCGGGCCAGCCTGCTCCTCTTCGCTGTGTTTCCCAAGAGGGAGGCTTGAGTTTGCCTACTGGATTCAACCTGCTGTCTGGGGCTCAAAATAGCATTTCAGCAGACTAGTGAAATGTAAGCAAAGGAGACACTCTGACTGACACCTAGAATCCCCCTCCTCTTACTTTTTCCTCCTCCAGCATAATTCCTTTCTCACCTAGCTGATCCCTTATGGACAGGTTTTTAAAGAAGTGTGACAAGTGAAAATCACTGCACTTGTTGAAAATCATGGTTCAGAGAAAAGATCCCACATCAAATTAATAGAATACCAGGAGTAAATATGTTCAAGGGCAAGGTGTACCTCTCACTTGTTAAATAGTTAATATTTTAACTTCATTAGTTAAATAGCTACAAATGTGTATTTATCCTGATGTATATGTATATCTGAAATAGAAAAAAAAGTGCATTTGCAACACCCATTAGCGATGCAAGGGTGTCTTGCTTATTACTACATTTGTACTCCTGCATGTACTGAATGAAAAACATACTACACGCCTTCATCCTGCAGCACATTATTGTCACTTACCAGAAAGAGGAGATCTAGATCATGCTTTGATCTTTTCTGTTTTTTTCACTTCAGCGAATCACATCCCATTTAAGGATGTAATTTAAACTTCATTTTGCGTCGTGCGAGCTCAGCCTTGCACTGCCTGGCGATCATCACAGTAAAGCAATTGCTGCTCACTCTAAGAAAGATGCACACTTCAAAGTAAAGTGTGTCACGGTTACTAATAGGATATATCTCATCGATATTTTGACGTGACAGTACAGCACTGCTAATATTGCACGTGTAGAATGAGTAACCCTCACACAGATCAATGTCATCTCGCTTTTTTTTCTGTTCAACTGTTCTTTAATGAGTCTCGTGCGACTGCTTTGTGAAATGTGGGAAGTCTGTGTCTACACATTTCATGAATGCCTTGCAATTGTTGGAGATTCAAAACCAGCTTAATTAAATTCTTATTTTTAATCAATTCCCCTTTGTCAGCGGGCAGAAAGCTTCAATAGCTATGAACGCTGTTGCCTTGCCAATTTAGAGGACCCCTGTAGTGCAGTTTAGGTAGTCATACTTTTTCTACAGAATACTGTCTCAAATGGATGGAAATTTTATAAAGTAGGTAATATTATACCTGGATAGCAACAAGTCAGGTATGCGTACAAATTTAAAGCAGAATCTGTAAACTGTTGTGTCGTGGCTGTCATACACATTTGCCATCCTTCGAAGCAAATGTGTGTTTGATTTCAAGGCAGCCGCCTTGTGAATACAAATCGATATCTTGTGGATATTCATATAAGGTTAACAAACACTCACTGGGAAAGTTATTAGCTGTTAATTGTGCTGCAATGCAGATGGGTGGTTGTGGCTGTGGGGTGGGGGTATGCTTATAAGACTTTTAAGACTTTACCCTTACATGTTGATTAAAAACAGACCAGTAATATAATATTCCTGTCCCCCCCCCAAAAAAAAAATCTAGCAAAGAAGGATGCACTTTTGTAATAAGACTTAACTTCTGCCTATTAATGCATATGTGGCAAAACCTCAGTGGAGACCAGCGCAGCTGTGGGTGACACTACGGAATACAGTCTCTTGAGTAAATCCAAGAACGTTAAATGAATGAACTCATAGAAAATGCTAGCTAGCAAATCACATCACACATAGAGTAACTCACTTAATAACAGGTAAGGGTTCAGGGGGCAACATGTATTTGGTGTCACTGGGCAAACAAATTAATAATAACCGTGTGGTATATTAAATTAAAATGCTCTCACAGAGATCTAGTCTCTACTTCTCTCCTATCCTCTTTCTAGGTTTTCAAACAATAGAAAATTTAGCCTGTGACTGCAGACTTTAGTACGTTAGTAACCTTATTAGACCAAATCAGGCGAGCTGTACACATTAGTATAGTGAATGGAAAAGCCAAGATAGGAGGTATAACACAGTGGCGTAATGTGATAAGCAGGGGTAAACAGGGTTTGAGTTTTTGTAGCATATTGACATATTTTTAGCTTGTAGTATGTGCATATGTCCATGTGCTCAGAACTGAAAGGGGGGAGCTGCAGGAGGGCTGCCATTTTTAAAATCTGGCTTTTTTTTCCTGCAACCTTTTCTCACTTTCTGCCTACTGCAGCTTTAACCAGTGGAAAGCAGTCAATATTTATGCTACAATATGTGCTGAATTGTAAGGTATTACTCAGTATCGTCTTCCGATGAGCTACCTGGATTTTAGCAATCGAGGATCTTGCGCTTTGGCAAGCTTTTGTACTTGTACAAAAGAAAAATGCATAACAGACTCAAACGAATTGGGACTCTGTGCTTGAAAAGTCATCAGTGAATATTGTTAACTTATGTGAAATCAGCCTCACTGTGTTTTAAACATTTTTGCCTCGCAAACAGCAAACTGTGTACAGTTTAAATTTAATGCTGGAGATAAAACATTTGCTAGCATGTAATGAAGTTCAGATTAAATTTCTCTAATTTGACTAATGGTGGCTCTCGCAATAAATCATTTCACGTTGTTGTTTCCTTCCACTGCTCTTACTTAAAACAATGCTTTTATCATACTGTGCTAGTTTACGCACACACGGACGTTCATGAAATATTTGAGAGCTCGATTGTTTACATTCCAAACAAATGATACTCTCCATTAATAGCTGCTGTCAAGCGGTACAACTCCAAGTGTCTGTGTATGTGCATGTGTGTGTGTGTGTGTGTGTGTGTGCGTTCATGCATGGAAGCAACAGTGCTTAAGGCTCATTTCTGCTTTTTCCAAATGAGCCAAAGCCTGCGTGTGGATGCGCTTTATAAGGACACTACTGTAGCATATTGACTTAGACCGACTCATATATGATGGCGGAACAGCAGAACAGTGGTTAGTACTGCCTCAAAGCAAAAGGGCGCCTGCGTGGGTTCTCTCTTTGTACACTGGCTTCCTCCCACAGTCCAGAGACATACAAGTTAGTTAAATTGGTGATTCCAAATTGGCTGTAGGTGTGAATGTGAGCATGAGTGGTTGTCTGTCTGTCTCTCTGTGTTAGCCTGTGATAGATTGGCGACCTGTCCAGCGTGTACTCTGCTTTTGCCCTATGACAGCTGGGCTCCAACCCCCCACAGCAACTCTCAAATGGACAAGCGGTTAGGGAAATGGATGGATATAAATGAAGCTTTTATCCATTTTTTTGGTTCTTTTTTTTTTTCTTCAGGCAAAGTAGTTTGTTAACAACTTTTGAAAGCAAACTATTTCATTGTAACACTGAACCTAACTGCTTTCATACTTCTCAATAAAAATATTAAATGGTTCATTACGGCGATGAAATGGATTGATGGAATGCATGAACTACTAGCCTTTACGTGTCCGCTTGCTCAACAGATGTCATCAAAGGTTAATTGTGTAAAACTGCCATTAATTTGCTCTCAAAGACATGGGAAGGATGTTGGCTCATAACTAGTTAGGATGAAGAGGTCAAGTTGAAAACTCTCCATGAGGGAAAATAGTACTAATTACAGCAGAACTTGAATACCGTGTAATTTTCTGCACTGACATTGTGCGTTCTGTCTTTCTCTCTTCTTTTTTCCCCCTCTGGCTCGTCTGTCATGACAGATTTGCTGCAGTGAAAGTGAGGCTCCCATCTACTCTTGAGTATGGACTTAGCAAGTCAGGCTCATGTGCTGGTGGTCTTGCTCACCTGTGTGGTCTTACAATGCCAGGCCCAGGAGAGGGACTACACAGTGAAGGAGGAGCAACCAGAGAACGTCCGAATTGGGAATCTGCGCAAGGACCTGGACCTGAACCTAGACCCCAGCATCAGGCTATCCTCGCCGTTGCAGTTCAAGCCTGTGTATAAAACGGGCGATGTGCCTTTGGTGAGGGTGGAGGCTAACACAGGGGAGATCTTTACCACCAATCACAGAATTGACCGGGAGAAGCTGTGCTCCGGGGTCTTCAATGAGAAACGCTGCTATTACGAGATTGAGGTGGCAGTGTTGCCGGATGAGATCTTCAGATTGGTCAAGATCCGCTTCCTGATTGAGGATGTGAATGACAACGCACCCCTTTTCCAGTCCACTGTAATAAACATCTCCATCCCAGAGAACACAGCCATTAACACACGATACCCGGTGCCCTCAGCATTTGACCCTGATGTTGGGATCAATGGGATCCAACATTATGAACTAGTCAAGGTGAGGATTAAGCCTGTTTCATTATTGATATCTAAAAAGAGAAAAAAAGGAATAAAGTATTTTGTTGTGGTCTTTGAAATCATATTAATGTTAAAATGGAAAATGAAATAAGGCAGTATTTCCTTATACATTAGTGAATTTTCAAAAGATTATTGGAAGTATTGGAAGAATCAAGTTTTTTAAATATCTGGTTCAAAGTGGATTTTGTAATGAGCTTTTTCATTAATGAACCTGAAATGTTTAACAGACCTCCGATGGATCTAATGCTTTTTGTTGGTTCTTCCGATTTCGGAAGTTGTATTTGATTCTTTTACGAATTACGATTTTGTTTAAAAATCACTGTGTCTGAGTCCCTAGCACTAATGTATCCCTGTTTTGTTTGATATGTGCTGAACTCTCAACTGTAACAAATTCATTAATAATCAAACACATCCAGGTATCAGAAAAGAATTTCCACGTAAAGACTAATTAAAATATCTACTTCACTATAATACTCCATGCTGGCAGCCTAAACTAATTGCTGTTTCTTCCAAATTAAATGGAGTAGTAAGTGACTGAAAGAATATGGCCCGAAGCACTGTGTTACTGGAACAGCATTCAAGGTACACGTTTACTGAAAGGACTAAATAAAATAAATAAACTTTAATTGTCTGTTAGGTATGTAACTTTCCGAGCAGTTACAGCCGCACATTTGAGAGATTGAAAACGATTGTAGTAATTTGTTTTGGAGAAACACTTTTAAAGAACAAACACACAATGGAAAGTATGAAATTAATTGTCTGACTTTCTTCGAAGCAAGCACAATATTCAGTGCTCACATTATTGATTAAGCTGTGACAAACTCTTATGCCTGCAACATGCCACCTGTGTACATCAGGTCTGAATAGCTGACTATTTGTTAATTAATGAGCTCTTACATCATTTTTCTTTTTCAGTTTTGTAGACTTCATTTAATACGACTCAGATTCTGCATTAGCTGATTCTTTAAACCCTTCATAGTGCTGTAGAGTGTAGTGCTATCGTGTATATATGCATACTGCAAATGAATTCACAATTTGCATTGAAAATATGACCTACTTTTTCATACAGTGCAATATGTTGGAGAGTCTAAAAGATTAGATACCAGCCATTAATATCTCCATATGTTTTTCATTAGTAGAGAAGGCTGTAAAAAGGGTATGTTTTCACTGTGTATTAACAGAGAACATGTAGCAGAAAGTGCAGACACAGCATAAACTGCATGTCCAATTTCCAGCAACAGGTTACATATGCTAAACATAGCGCATTAAAGCAGGTGTAAAGGAATAAACTGTATTGTTGTAATATGCATCCAGTACAGAACTAGGAAAAGCCTTTTTTCTGCACTGTAATATTCTTTGTTACCTAATGAATTCAGCTCCAAGTTGAAAAATGTAAGATATTATCATGTGTTCTTCAATTACAGTCTAGACAACACTAAAGGCTTTGCAGATAAGTAGTGAATATTACATGATCACATAAAACGAAATTATATAACTGTAATAATAACAAATGCAAAAAAGTTGTTGTACTTAAGGGAACGGTGTGAGGCAGCATGACAAGTCCACCGTGGAGTCTCAGATGACGTTAACATTGTGTAGGAATGAACAGAATCATTGCTGTCTGTGTCTGCCTTGAATACCAATTTGCATTTTTAAAGAGTCTCCCCACTGCCAAGACCTCTCCAGCGCAATGTCCTGAATTGTTCATGCCTGGAAAATCACCAACCAAATGTTCTGCTCATTACGATGATCATTTGCAATAATTTTCTTTACCCTTTCTACAATATGGAGCTTTCTAAAAACTGTACCTAGGCTGTGGTTGTGTTATCTTTTCCAGGAAAGTCTTCTTTCAGCATCCTTGGCTCCACAGCCCTGTTTCGGTACTTCTCATTATATTCTCATTGTATTCAAGATTAATTTGCTTGTATCCCAGGTTCCATATGAGTAAAACGATGTAGGGTGAAGCATTAAAGTGAGTTGGATGCACTTTCAGCCTTTGGTATGTTTTATTTCAGTGGTGAAGTAGAAAGCCAGGGGTTTAGGGGGGAAGGAATGTGTAAGCAATTCCTAGAATAGCTCTTGGCCGCTAAGCCACCCTTGGACTATCTTTGTATGGTCCTGTGAGATTTGTCTCAGAAGCTCCCTCAGAATGATAGTTTGCCCAGTTTTTTTCTCGTGTTGTACAGGGCACAGTGCTAAAATTGCTTCCATTGTGTAGCACAATGAGCCATACTCAGTGGTGTGTCACTCCACATGTAACTTGCCTGAGTTGTCAATATACAGAAGAAATGAAAGAAACATGGTGGCCTTTTTTGTGCAACTTCCTTCTTTTTCAAAGCCAAGAGGGACAACGGGTAATTTCGTCCTACACAGTGCTCCAGCTCCACATATAATGGTTGGTAATCATACTTTGAGCAAAACTCCACCATCAGTGCAGCGGTGTGTTACGTCACCTGAATTGAATAGAAGTTGTCCTAAGAAATGGTCAAGGTCAGAGAAAGTAATCACATGCATGACTGGAGAAGAATCCCCCACGAAGGGAGATTTGATCACTACATATTCACAGGATAAGTCGGGTCAACACAGAAACGTACTCAGGACTAAATGAGATTTTAGCGTTTGTTTTCCTCTCGCTTTTTACAATTTCAAAAGTTGGCACCGTTCTTTATTCCGGTGCTTGGTGCTTGACATGTGCCCTTGCATTCACGTCAGCATCTTTCAGTAGATTTAAAATAGAATATATTTAGTTTAAATTTGATTCTGTCACTAGCTTGACTATGTTCCACTAATAAAACAATGTCTGTATTTAGGGCATTTATGCTTAACCTTATTCCAACAACATATTTTGTCTGAAGTTATTTCCAAGGCCCATCCACTGTTATTTTTTTTTTTTTTTTTACATTTCTAACTGAAATATACCTTAGATTTGAAGCGGAGTAGTCTTTTTTTCTGGTACTCCAAGTCTGAGCCTGACCAAATTCATTCCCAAACTGATTTGAAGATGCAAAATTTATTCAAGCTTCATTCCCATGTAGCAAGAAAAATGTGATTAATTCATTGCATGGCGCCTATAGGCATTGAATATTTGGGTGGAGAACTCACTCTCAAGCATTTCTACTTTTCATTAGCATCCTATTTTGACACATTTTCTTCTTCTAGGGGTTGACGAAAAGAGGCAAACACTTCCTAGGTTCCTTTGTCTTAATTATATGCATGAGATCATGGCCAGGGGCAAAAGGGGATGAAGGGTAGAGAGAAAGAATGAGGAAGAGAGAGAGAGAGAGAGAGAGAGAGAGAGAGAGTTTCTATCAGCATTATAAAGAGGTGCTATAGCTTGTGATGAATACCTCTGCCTATTTAGTCCCATCCATGGGCATCACCGTGACTAGAGTCTTCCTGATATATTCACAGCCCAATCTGAGTCTCCTCTGAGTTTTAATAAGGTCATCAAATTGAGTGAAAGATGCATCTACTGATAATCTGAGGCACTGTCGGCAAAATGGGGTTCAGATTCATCCTTCCCTCATCATCTGCCACCTCTGCTTCTGTCAGTGTCCCTCAATCATTTTCATTTAAATTAGCCAACTCTGATTAGATTTTGTACTTCACAAACCTCACATATACGGTGCTCTAATCCCCCCCTTGGCTTCCAGAGAACCTGTGGCCCTGTAATGTGGGATGAAAGGCAAGTCATCAAAGTTCAAGAAGACATGTACCTGTACGGAATATGTGAGGTGGCAGAGCAAGGCATGGTCTAATGTGCACACTTGACCGTTTAGAGAGCTTTGTCCTTCTCACTCAGCCTTAAGGTTTCCAGTGAGTGATTCATGCTAGTATTTGGCCTTTTCTTAGCCTGCCCTAGATCTTATCACAATCCACCAGACTAATTCTGCATTCAGGAGGATGCACAGCCTGAGAGATAGCTCTCCCCAAGTTATTGAAATGCGGTGAGTGCTGCCTTGTCAGTTGTAAAATTGTGTGGAAAAAAGACAAAAGCATAGAGGAAACGCCGGCTTATAAATCATTGTGCAGCATTCCCTTTGACACATGCTAACTCAACATCCTACTATTAACATCGGGCTTTGCGAAAATATCAGCGTGCAGCTATACTGTGCCGAATCTGCAAACTATTCAAACGACTGAGGATTGAGGAGATCTGTATAGCTCGAGTAGTGCTTAACAATACAGCCCCTAGAATGTTGTCTTGGACTTTTCAGTTAGAAATACTTCTGCTGGGTACATAAAGATTCAGCAGAGTTTATCCATAAGGCAATTTTTTTTCTACAGTTCCACGCAGAGTTTTATATGCAATGTCTGCTTATCCCTATATGACTTTTGCTTGCCAGAAGGATGACAAAATAAGGTCTGAAAGATCATTGCTGCAGTGTTGGCTGTTTTAAGTAGTTCTGTCAATCACTGACATGTTGACAACATTTCCTCTGCAAGCAATTTTTCAGAGTACACAATAATTTACATGCTGCAGCTGCACGTTTTCTTGTGTCGGCTACAAAGCTATGTTGGCACAAGGACAGTTCTAGATTTTGAAACCTACTGAGGACTCTTGTGCTCACAATTTGGTTGAAGTGTTTCTCCCTTGAATAAGCAGAATGTATATATCTTAATCTCATTTGATAGCTGTGCCTAGACAGAGTAATCTCTTCCAACATTATGTGCAGCATGAAGCTTATCTCTTTAAAGAGGATGCTTTTTCTTGTTTTACCATGAAACTGCTTCTGACTGAAAGAGCTTCAAAGGGCTTCTTTGTTTCATAATGTGCATGCAGCTCATTCATGGGCTTGATCGTCTTCTTATTTCCTCCCCCTACTCTCTCTCTCTCTCACTCTCTGTTTTTTTCCCTCTCTCTCTCATACTAGTATGCTATGGTATGGATCCATACCATGTATTTGTCAGGACTACGAAAATAGTGAACATTAATGCTAGTTTTTTAGGGGGGTGGAAGGCAATTACTCTTAGCATCGAGTGCCAGATCCTCGGGTTTATCACGTGGATTATTCTTGTATTTGTTTTTATTATCCTCCAGCTTTACTTTTGCCTAGATTTAGCTCCTCCTGACTGAAAAGCATTTCTAATATGCAGACTTTTTAACTGTCTTTCTTTTTATGTATAGAGATTTCTTGAGGCGTGTGCAAGTGCTTTATTGGTGTGTCTCCATTCTTGGCTGTCTCTCACTCCTATGTCATAGTTTAAATGTTTATAAAGACAGCTGTTTTATTTTAACTTGAGACTGTACAGAAAGGTTGAGTGAAGTCTGATTTTTATTGATAGTAGCAGAAACTGGATGATGAGGATAAAAAGGTAAACAAATCTCTTAAAGTAGTAGTTAGTCGAAACAGATCATTTACTAAAAAATGGTCATTTGAAAAGGATTTATTACCAAGTATTTCATATATTTTTTGGGATGTGTTTAGAAAGTGTCAAAACAAAAAGCCTGAAAAAAAGCTGATGATTAGCATGTTTGCACATTTGCAGGGACCCAACTGAGATGAGCAGAGCAGAGCAAAGAGCCAGCTGCCTTTGTTGAAGAATTTCCCAGGCTGTTTAACTTGACATTCATCAGGATGCATAAGAAGGGCTACAAAGGAACCTGAATAACCTAAGGAGAAACCTCAACAAGATGTTTGTTGTTATAAGATAATTGAAAAATCTGCAATTTAAGAACAAAAATGCCCAAGGATGCCTTGGAATTGTTATCACATATTTCTTTGTTATTACCCAAGTCAAAATGTGATGTTCTTAGTTATGGTACTAATATATCAGTCGAGTCTGGTTTTATTGAAGTGGCTTAGCAATTTTTGCACCAAATGAAACTCACACTGTCTTGTGCCAGACAGTATGAAGGGGAAAGCCCCTAAAAAGCAAACAAAGAAACAAAAACTTAAGGATAAAATCCTGTGAGAAATGTCATTTGAAGTTAAAAACAATGAGTGGACATGTAAAATGCTATTTAACACTAACAAGCTGGTTTCATTTTGTTTCCATTATTCAAATAGGTATATAAAATCAACACCTACAATTAAATATATTGTCCTGTCTTTGCAGAGTGTCAGTGAGTTTGGCTTAGACATCATTGAGACGCCCGAAGGTGACAAGTGGCCGCAGCTTATTGTTCAGCAGAACCTGGATCGTGAACAGAAGGATACCTTTGTCATGAAGATAAAGGTGGAGGATGGTGGCAACCCTCCCAAATCCAGCACAGCCATTCTCCAAGTCACCATTTCTGACGTCAATGACAATCGCCCCATTTTCAAGGACAGTGAGCTGGAAGTCACAGTACCAGAAAACGCACCAGTGGGAACATCGGTCGCTCAGCTTCATGCCACGGATGCAGACTTGGGTTCCAATGCGCAGATCCACTTTGCCTTCAGCAACCAGATCTCTTCCTCGACCAAACGTCACTTTGCCATCAACAGTTCTACTGGACTTATCACTGTGAAGCAGCCACTGGACAGGGAGGTAACTCCTGTTCATAAACTCATTGTCCTGGCCAGTGATGGCAGCTCCACCCCTTCCAGAGCCACAGTGACTGTTAATGTAACAGACATTAATGACAATGTTCCCTCTATAGACACTCGCTACATTATCAACCTGGTTAATGGAACTGTTCTGCTGTCTGAGAATGCACCTCTGAACACCAAAATAGCCCTAATTACTGTTACTGACAAGGATGCAGATCTTTATGGCAAAGTAGCTTGCTACACTGACCATGATGTTCCTTTTCGATTGAAGCCTGTCTTTAATGATCAGTTTTTACTCGAGACAGCTGCTCCTCTAGATTATGAGACGACTCGAGAATATGCAATTAAGATAGTGGCCTCGGATAGGGGGACACCTCCTTTGAACACTTCAGCTATGGTCTTAATTAAAATCAAGGATGAGAACGACAATGCACCCATCTTTCCCCAGCCAGAAATCCAGCTTTCCATACCGGAGAACAATGACCCCTCTACACAGTTAATAAAAATAAGCGCCACTGACGCAGACAGTGGACATAATGCAGAGATTATTTATACTCTCAGCCCTGATGCGCCTGATGGGTTTAACATTGACAGACGGTCAGGAATTCTCTCTGTTGGCAAACGACTGGACAGAGAGAAGCAGGAGAGGTACTCATTCACTGTCATAGCGAGGGACAATGGCTCTACATCCCTGCAGAGCAATGTCACTGTCAAGCTAATTGTCCAGGACCTTAATGACAACAGCCCAACTTTCACACACCCTGAGTACAACTTCTATGTGCCTGAAAACCTGCCTCTCTATGGAACTGTTGGTTTAATCACAGTAACGGATGCAGATGCAGGAGATAATGCTGTTGTAACTTTGTCCATTTTGAATGGGAAAGACAATTTTATCATTGACCCCCAAACTGGCGTGATCAAACCCAATATTACCTTTGATAGGGAACAGCAAAGCTCCTACACATTTATGGTAAAGGCAGTTGATGGAGGACAACCTCCAAGCTCCTCCTATGCCAAGGTCACTATCAATGTAGTTGATGTGAATGACAATCGCCCCGTGTTCGTCATTCCGTCCTCCAATTACTCATATGACCTAGTGCGAACCACCACCACCCCTGGTGCTGTGGTCACCAGAGTGTTTGCCATTGACAATGACACTGGTATGAATGCTGAACTGCAATACAGTCTTATTAGCAGCATCATCATTACATCTAGGGTCTCCCCTCGAGGTCTCTTTGCCATCGACAAAACAACGGGTAACATAACACTGCAGGAGAAAATAGTTGCAGCTGATCAGGGGCTGCACAGGCTGGTAGTCAAAGTCAAAGATTTAGGCCAGCCGGAGTCATTACATGCTATTGCACTCGTTCACTTGTTTGTAAATGACTCTGTGTCAAATGCTACCTTTATACAAGAGCAACTGCGAAAAAGTATGGAGACACCATTGGATCGCAACATAGGGGACAGTGAGGTAGCCCCTCAAGCTAACGGATATGTGATTGTCGTCATAGCTATCATAGCAGGGACCATGACTGTCATCTTGGTGATATTTGTGACCGCTTTAGTGCGCTGCCGACAGACACCCAGACATAAAGTAGTGCAGAAGGGCAAGCAAAGTGGAGAGTGGGTGTCACCTAACCAAGAAAACCGTCAGATCAAGAAAAAGAAGAAGAGAAAGAAGCGATCTCCTAAGAGCCTCCTCCTGAACTTTGTGACCATAGATGAATCCAAGCCTGACGACCCCACGCACGAGCATGTTAATGGCACACTGGATCTCCCTGTGGAGCTAGAGGAGCAAACCATGGGGAAGTACAACTGGGCAACCACGCCGACCACCTTCAAACCTGACAGCCCCGATTTAGCCAAGCATTACAAATCTGCATCCCCTCAGCCTACGTTTCAAATCAAACCCGAAACACCAGTGGCCCCAAAGAAACACCACGTGATCCAGGAGCTCCCCTTGGACAACACATTTGTGGTGGGATGTGACTCACTCTCCAAATGCTCATCGACTAGCTCCGACCCATACAGTGTCTCAGAGTGCAGCTGTCAGGGGGGATTCAAGACTGCGGGGCAAAGCACCAACCGACAGGTAATTCATGACTTCCTTTTTAAACCCACCCACACTAGTCCCCACTCACGCTCCCCTTGCTGTCCTCTGGTAGGTGATGTTAAAGGGGGTGGGTGGGAGCATGAAGGAAGGGGATTTACCTACACAGACCATGACCATGTCTTCATGAATGTCATTTCCACCTAAAAATGGGAAGAAATGAAACAAACAAAAATGAAAGAAAACGTAATTTGTTGCAATTAATGCAGCAAACCTTCCACTGTACTGTTGTTAATCCACCCTGTTTTCATTTTGACCATTTAAATGCAACCATAACTGTATAATCATTTACCATAAAACATGCTCAGCTTTCAAAATCCAATCTTTGAGCAATGGAAGCAGAACAACTACAGTGGCTAGCTGTTTTAAAATGGACAGGGAGTAGTTGCTGGCGGTGCAAACTGGGATATGCAGCAACTCTGAATTTGAGTTATTAGGATGAATGAAGCTGTGACTATTTGGCTAACATTGTCAAAGGCACAAGTGTGAAAGTAAAAGTGCAAAAAAAGAAAAAAAATGTGCTAAAACAACTTGATAAAGAAATCCCATATTTTTGTGGCTTCAGTCGTGAAAATATTAAGTCCTAGCTTAACTGTGCCAGTGCTTCTTTGTGGGAGTGAAACTCATTTGAATGCCAAGGTATAGCAAAGGGCTTATGATTCCCTAAGAGATATTTGCCAAATGTGAAGTGCCCCAATAAATAAAAACTGGCAAAGGGAAATAAATGTAAATCAGAAGTAAGGAGAGGTGGCCTTGCTCTGTGCTGACAGCCAGAGCAGAGCGCTGTGGGGAAGACTGAGTACTGTTTGTGGCGGGGGGGGGGGAGGGGGGGGGGGGGGGGGGGGGGGGGGGTCACAAGGATCAAGGTGACGCAGAGCCTTGAGACCAGTATACTTAAACACCAAGGGAGCAGTAAAATAAAAAAGCCAGCCAGGCCAGTGTTGCATTTAGCCCATAAATGTCCTACTTTAATGACCCCAATTATTGTTATAAATGGAATATGTTGATTCAAATACTTTACATTTTTTAAATGGTCTCACGTTAGAGAGGATCACAACAAAGGTTTGCCACACTGATGTGTTGTTTGTGTTCGACAGGGTGATGTTGTTGTATTTCTAATACGTGACAAAGTAATATCATGTTGATATTTGACCTGCTATCACTCTGACGATGGAATTAATGAAGGTTGATTGGTCTGTGCGTGGGGTCGTAATTTATTCATACTGATCTGTGTGTGTTGCCATAGTTTTCCCTTAGTGTCAAACATCCAGTTGATTTTTTCTAGCTTTTCCAATCATTTCCTTGTCTTTCGTTTTGCTTCTTTTAAGATTTTTGATGATTCCCATTGTTGCTTGGTTGCACTAGCTTTCGTTTTTGTTACTGTTTTGATCATGACTTTCACAACTGTCATTCATGCAATTCTGGGTCAATTTCATGATATTGCATCAATAATTGATTTTGTTTGATGAGGTGCTTGCTTTTCTTTGTGTCTAGCATCATATTGCACACAGTTTCTCGATCTTTGGTTCACTTCTTTCTTTTTGCTCTCACTATGCTTCTATTTGAGATCTAGCAAGCTTTAAAATTCATCATAGCGTAGTTGTGGCAAATGACTGTTGATCCTGTGAAGTATTGTACTTAGGCTAATTTATGAAGACACCCACACAGACTTGATAGTCATTCCCTTCATCCACCTTTTATTTGAACCCCTAGTTAAAAGCTATGCTCTGCCATGGTACATTATACATAAGCCTGCTACATGCCCCTGGTACCAAAGATTTCATCCATAATGTGTTTATATGACACACTGACGAGTTGTCAGAATGATTTTCCCCTCTTACAAGTAGTGGCTGCCCTGAAATATGCAGAAATATTCAGCCTGTGTTCAACCATCCTAAATTATTATCCGTTATGAATTTTATGCATCAAGGATTGAAATTGATTTCCACTCATGTTACTGATCAGAGTGAAGAATTGTTATTATTTTTTTTTTTTGCAAATAATTTCAAATCAATGAATATTTAATTAGTAAACGTTCTGCCAAATCTCTTCGGCTATGGTTCTATCTGATTATTTCTAAGGTATATTTATCCACACTTCTAATAGAACATGGGTTTAATATTCTCATATTCTGGTATTATATCCAACTAATATTTCAATATTAGCAAAAAAAAATTGTTCTCATTGGTTTTCCTCAGCAATCCATCTTTAGTGATGTTAAGCTGGCAATATATCTATTTTTTTCTCTCTGTCCCCTTGAGCAATTGGCAAGTGATTCCTCCCACTTTACACATTAGATTTCCCACAAGTTTAAAGTGTGCTTATTTAAAGCCTATGTCATAGAAAAAAATAGCATGAAGCTTTGCCTGATGAGAATCATTGGCTGCAAAGGTTAATTAAATGCACTAAAGGGTTAATCACTCGTAATACAGTATGATTAAAATCACTCTAATTGGTTTGAGAAAGAGGCTGATAAGAAAGAAGAAAAAGGCAGCTGTCCTTTAAGATTATCAGGAGTACCATAAACTAGCCTTGAGTGAGTCCTGTCCTCAGGATCCAAAGCGATATGACAATAGATGCCCAGCAGCCCTGTTTGCTAAAGGACTATTAAAATTGAATCTGTTTGATTTTATCTTTACGCTTCTTCAAAGAGACTACATTTTCAAAGTTTTAAATAGCACTTATAAACAACACTTCAAAATGTGTATGATTCTTGATCTGATGTGGTATAAACATAATGTTTGAGAACTTGTAGAGATCATTTGTAGTGTGGTTCTTAAAAGAAAAACTACATTTGGTCTGTAAGTGGCAGCTATTCACTCTCTGTTCAGCTTAACTTAATAAAAAAAACTCCAAACGCAAAGATCATAGGTAGTTTTCCCTGTTCTTCATCAAAGTGACGCAGTTCTTTTGTGCATTAAAGTAATATCTAATTGTCACAGAAGAAGGTGAAAATGAAACATAGACAAAAAGCAGAGCCATTGAATAACAATAGAGAGGGAATGCGGGAGGAGATAATTATGGTTGAAGGTCAACAAAACGTTTCCAGGGACTTTACAGATGTAGCTGATAAAGACTAAAGCTTGTAAAAATACTTCAGAGACTACAGATTTGTGCCACCATATGGCTTCATTATACAGTAAGAGCTATAAATGCAAATCTCCTCTTTTCCCTCCCTTCTCTTCCTATTTTTTATGCATCTCATCATTTTCTTTTAACCCCTACCCCCTCGATATTAGAGGTCAATCTGCCTCCAGTGATGAGGAGCACTTGTGAGCGTATGTGATTTAGAGGAATCAGATCAAATGACTACCACCCTGCTTAAGTGATCTCAGACATCATGATGAATAGGTTGGCTAATATTGTCTTATGTTTGGCCCATAATTCTACGCCCACAGTGCAGGAATTGAGATTAACAATTTGTTAGTGTCTTCTGGCACCACTTCACACAGTACTGTGCAAAAGTATTGAGCTCTCCTTGATTTCTTGATTTTTTCATTCCAAGAAGCCAGACATTGTTCTCAATTTTAAAGTTGTCCTAAGGAATAGTTCTCCAGGCTTCCGGAAGGTCTTTCAAAGTTTTTCTTTGGACATTGGCTGCTTTTTTTCTCTCTTTTCAGTCAAATCCCTCTACCTGACCAGTTTTAGAGGAATGTTTTATTATTATAGCATAAAAAACACATAACTCAAGGGATAAGCCAGTGATGCCTCTACAATATAGGCCTTTTTTTGCTTAAATGTGACACAAAAACATGGTGCCAGTGGTCTCCATGGACAAATACTGAGGTATGTCAAATTACACAAAAACTGGATTGAAACTCAGTGGCGACAGGGTCTGATGGATTAATTAATCCAAATCTAACTGTTTTGTTTCAAATCATTGTCAGTATGTATGTAAAACATGGTGGAGGCTTTGTCATGGTTTTGGGATCCATTTTAACCAGTGGTTCTGGGAACCTTGTCAAAATTGATTACTAACATAAAAAAGTGTCATCAAATTTTGATCCACCATGCAATACCTTCTGGAAAGCATCTAAATAGCAATGGCTTCATTTTCCAGCATGACAATGATCCCAAACACACTGTCAATAATGTAAAAATAAACATGGGTGGAAAGGCACAGAGTGGAACACTCGGTCATGGATTGGCTTCTCCAGAGTCTGGACCTGTGTGGGATCATCATGACAAAGAACTGAACAAAAGGCAGCCGACATCCAAAGAAGAGCTTTGAATGTCCTTCAAGAAGCCCGGAGAACTATTCATGGAGACGATTTAAAGAAATTACAAGAATGCTTAAGAGAGTTCAGGCTGTCTTAGAGATTAAAGTTGGTCATACCAAATATTGACTTTGAAGCTGGTCAGAATTGTATAAGCATTGTTTTTGCCTTAAGTGCATACTGTATTCCCATGTATCTTTGCACATTTTTTAATAAATTTCCAAAAATATAGCAAAATATCAAGAAATTGGATGACCACAGTACTGGACATTGAATAAATAAAGATATTTTATAGATGTATTGGATAACAAAGGCAATATTAAACCTTATTTGTGCAGAAATCTTTTATTTATGTGGGGGAAGGAATGGGCCAGTAACACTTGCCACCTATAGTTTGATGTTTGATTGCAGGATGTTTGTGCTTAATGGTAGTGGGTGCACAGCCGGGCATGAAAGCTATGATTTCACAAGGTGATCAGTTTCAAATCCTTGCAACTGATTATGGTTTTGTTTGTAGTAGGGTTTTTTGGTCATTTTTTGCATTTTATTATTATTATTTGTTTATTTCTGTTGAGTCATTGTTGAGTCATTGCATCTGTAATCACTGTGCTTTGTTAATGTGAGCACTATCAAGACAGATTCTTCCCAATCGCAGATATGTTGGTACCTTTGTGAGGAACAGCAAAATGTAATATTCTGTACATATCAGAGGACCCACTGGCAAGGGTCCGAAATAAAGACTGGGCCTAAATTGATCCAAATATT